AGCTCTTACTCCCTTTTCACGATTCTTTTATAAAATTCCTTCATGAAAAGACCTGCACTTTACTACAGCGAGAATAACAACATTGCCAAAAAGTGTGTATGATTCTGTGCCGTGTTCAAGGCCCAAGAGAAGTTGGTGTGTGCCTAACGGGCATCGGGGGCAGACCTGAAAAGCGAGACACACCTTGCCAGTGGTTCCAGCTGAGCTGTAATTTTTCCTGCCTGTATCATATTCTTCTCAAAAGGTTTCTGTGAGCAAATGCTGTGTGCTGAAGCTGGCAATTGGTGGAGCAGAAGCAGGACAGCCGTGGGTCTGTAGTCTGGCAGGTGCACAAAGTGGATATATGCAGGGCACATGAATTTTCAAAGCTCTCTCAAGCTGAGCCTTCCATACAGCTGTCATCTACATAGGCTTGAGAGACTGGGGAGATAATGATCTCTTGACTTTGTAAAACTTTTTATTTTTTCAGAGTAAGGGGGATTTGGGCACAACATTTGTTAGTTGCACATCATGAATTAATTTGGTGCAATTTGGGATCTGTTTACAACAATGGGTAGCAGGGAAATAGTGGTGCGAGAACCAGTGGAGTTGTTTCCATCATACACGTAAAAGAACTGTGAGGAATATTTTCGTTTTGAAGCCAGTTACTGTGTAGATAGTCATAATGTCATCTGTATGGTTGAAAATAGAACCAGGATGTAGCACTGTCAGTCCCTGGTACAGGGTGTTTTCTCTCTGTGTGAAGAAAAAAAGGAAGCATAGAAGGCAGAATAATGACCCTCAGATCAACTCCAGGAGAAGAGAATAACTGATCTGTGCTTTCAGCCTAGGCATGGTGAGCATGCCTCATCTCTTCTTACTCTGCCCGAAGTAACACCGCTGTCCACTCTCATTAGCAACTTGTCTCATTTTTTCCTGGTGGAGGAAATAAAATTTTAAAGTATAGAGACATACCCTTTTGTCACAATAATTTTAAAAATTTTAATTTGTCTGATTTTTTTAAAATGTATTTCCTCTGCTTCTTTAAATATAACACTCAGAAACTTCAGAGTTTTCTTGATGATTAGGCTGTGGACTTGTTTTTATCTCTCTGTGACTTGAGATTTAAGTACACTGAGCAGTTTCTTGTTTTTCCTTCATGACCTTTAAACAGCACAGTTCTTTTGTTTTCAGAAGTAATCACAAAGATCCAGTCTGTCCAGTATGGTAGCCACTAACCACATGTAGGTTCTGAAAATTGGAAATCTGGCTAGTATGACTAGGAAACAGTTGTAACTTTAATTTTAATTAAATCTGTTAAATTGTAAAAAGAAACAGTAAGACTAAATTTTACTTCAGAAATGACGAGTTAGGGTGTCGGCATTGTAGCACAACAGGTAACGCTGCCATCTGTGGTGCCAGGCACCAGTTCATGTCCTGGCTGCTCCACTTCCTATCCAGTTCCCTGCTAATGCACCTGGGAAAGCAGCAGAAGATGGCCCAAATGTTTGGGCCCTACCACCTATATGGGAGACCCAGATGAAGCTCCTGACTTTGCCCTAGCCCAACCACAGCCATTGCAGCCATCTGAGAAGTAAACTTCTCTGCTCTCCCCCTTCTCTTAAACTCTGACTTTCAAAAATAAATAAATCTTTAATAAAAAATGAATCGGTAGCTGAGATATGCTCTCTGTGTATAATACACATTAGATTTTGAAGGTAGTATGGAAAGAAGAGTATAAATTATCTCATTTAAAAGTTTTCATATTGGCCGGCTCCGCGGTTCAATAGGCTAATCCTCCACCTGCGGCGCCAGCACACTGGGTTCTAGTCCCAGTCGGGGTGCCAGATTCTGTCCCAGTTGCTCCTCTTCTAGTCCAGCTCTCTGCTGTGGCCCGGGAGGGCAGTGGAGGATGGCCCAAGTCCTTGGGTCCTGCACCCACATGGGAGACCAGGAGAAGCACCTGGCTCCTGGCTTCGGATCAGCATGGTGCACCGGCCGCAGCGGCCATTGGAGAGTGAACCAACGGCAAAGGAAGACCTCTGTCTCTCTCTCTCACTGTCCACTCTGCCTGTCTAAAAAAAAAAAAATTTTTTTTTCATATTGATTAGACATTGAAATGTTTACTTGGATATATTGTGTTAAATATATTACTAAAACCAATTTATCTTGGTCCTTTTTAACTTTTTATTTTTTTAATTTTTATTTTTTCCCCAAAAACCTTATTTAAGATATGCAAACTTCATGCATTTCATAAATAGAAATTTAGGAACATAGTGATTCTTCCCATTCCTACCTTCCCTCCCATCTGCACTGTACTATAAAATTTGATATTATACCTGAAAGTTTCATTGTAGTTCTCTGGCAAGGTTTCTCCATACTAGCAGTGTTGACATTTGGGCTGGGTCATTCTTGGTTATGGGGCCTGTCCTGCTCCCCATAGGATACCTGGCAGCATCCTAAGACCAGGCTGAGCCAGGTCAGCTTCCCTCCCCTAGCAAAAGTGCCTTTTGGTAGCTTGCCCACCAGGATGCTCAATCCTGTGTCTGAAACCCTTAGAATGAACCTCTTTGTCTCCTAATGTTGGAATTAATTGTAGAATGGGTCTTTGTATTAGCTATCCTAATACAAACTTGGAACAGCAGCGTTAGTCCTCCTCTCAAGTAGCACAGAATACATCAATTTCTTTATAAAAGGGATAATGTCTACTAACAGGCCTTATAAATTCCCAAGTTGATTCAACAAGTACTTAAACTAGTCCTCTTTGCTAGACACCGTCCTAGGGAACAGGGCTACATGCACACTGTTTGGAGATAGTCGACAAATCAAGAGACTATGTCTTCTGTCACATGGTGATCAGTGTTGTGGAAAAAGGTGAAGCAGACACATGCCTAGGGGATGGTGCTGGTGGGGCTTGGGGTATGGGAATGCTATTAGTCCTGCCATCCCAGGTCCTACCATCTTGTGCTCCAAGACTGCTCTGGTGCCCGGTGTTCCCAAGTCCTCCAGTTTCTTTGAATCAAGGCTTGATCTTTCTTTCCCCATTGCTTATAAGAGATGTTTTCCAGATAGCTTTGCCTCGCCTCTGCTAAGTCCTCCTAAGTGGGCAGGTTATGTTCTTTTTCAGAGTGGTACCTGGATCTGCCCCCCAGGCTGAACTGCTTTGGGGGTTCTCTGGCTGCTTTCCTCTGCATTGGAGGCTGGGGTTGCACCTTTCTTTTTTGGCTTAGATGGCAGTCACTAGACCTGAGGTCATTTATTAAACCACCACTTCTGCATGGTGCCCAGTGTTCCCCTTGCTACTGTGGATCCGTCCTGAGCACACTGTGGAATGTTGAGGGTTTGTGCTTGGCTCTGTGTGTCCACAAGAAAGCAGTGGTCTTTCTGTTGGTCATTTCCCTTTCAAAATCCCTATCACTTCTGTTTTTGGCTGTGTTCACAGTAGATAATGTAAATAATATTCTGCTGTCCTTATAAATGATAAGGTACTCGATTTGCATAAAGCACCACAGGAAGTTATAGGTATCACAGTGAGGACAGCATGCTCCCAAATGGGACTCTTGGCTGGCAGTCATGTGGCAGTTTCTAAACTGAGAAAATTTCAAAGCTTGGGTGTCCTTTGCCTCCAAGATATTTGCTGCTGCCTTGCCTTTCTGCTGTCGTTTTTAATCAGCATGGAAGCACATAGCTGTATGTTTAATGTAAGCACTTGTTTCTGGGGAATTACAGCTCTCATTCACTCTTCACAAATCTCCTTTCAAGTTCACAACCTCCTGGGTATGCTGTGTTTCTGATCTACTCTTTCATAGACAAGAGGTGAAAATATTAGTTGATGTACATCTCCAAACCTGAAATGTACATGCAAATGGTAGATAATGGCAGGGATTCTTATTTCTGGTAGCCATTGTTCCTGTCACAGAGATTGATTGATAGTCTTGGAGAGTGAGGACTGTGATTTAAATACCATCTGTGGCCACTTAGCCAGCAGATTGGGTAGATGACAGATCTGCCAAATGAGCAGTGTATGTTCCTGAAAAGGAAAAAAATGAGAAGAATTTTACCATGGGGGATTTAAAAATAATATTATTGATTTAAAAACTTAATTTTATTACCTTCTATAATTCAAATGAGTTTAATTCAGAGGTTCTTTAGAAGATAAGATTGTTCTGTTAATATTTTAGTTACACAGATGTATCTCAGAGGGCAACTGGAAAGGTAGCATTCCTTCCTTAGGGATGAGTTATCATCGCAGTGTTCTGGAGAACTGGTTGGGCACCTCGTGCCCCTGCTCTCACGGTGTGCCATGCTGATCTGGAGATGAGATTGTCTCGCTACCCACCAGGCCTGATTCAGGACTGCTGGGCCCCAGACCCTTTCCCGACAGCCACCATAGTTCTGGCTGCTTCCAAACCCTGGCAGCCCTTGTAAGTTATTCTTTGTAGAGGTTAATTTGTGACAGGTTTTCTAGTGTATCCTATAAGACTTGATAAGTTTTGTTCAATGTCAGTGACCTTGGGGAAGTTGGATGCAGAGCCTCTCTATTGCTTTGGTTTTCATAGTTCATTTGCATCTTCGCACTTAATTTCCTAAAAACCTTTAGCTAGGCTCTCTGATGGCATTTTGTGTGTTATTTCGCAGATAGAGTATGATCACTTACTAAGCAGCAGAATGTGGTAGCTGTGTCATGAATGAAACAACAGGCTCAGATGTGCCGGCACAGGAGAGGACAGCACAGCTCTGAGGTGGTCCGGGCAGTTGGACCCCAGAGACCCTGGAGGGCCAGGAGACTTTGGATTAGAATAATACTGGACACAGAGGGTATAACACTTCTCAGTGGCCAGAACAGCAGGGAGCAGGAATAGCCTTGACCTTGTTGCCAGCTGGTGATGATGACACACATCTTTAGAGTCTCTCCGTGCACGTGTCTGCGGCTCCCACGGCTCTCACGTGCACAGCAGTGTTTTTTCTTCCCAGTGTCGATGAGATTAAAAAGAGCTCTTTGTTTTTCTTTTCTTTTTCAGAACAAGCTTGCCCTCTCCTATGTTTTCCAGAAATGACTTCAGTATCTGGAGCATCCTCAGAAAATGTATTGGAATGGTAAATTAACTACCAGTTTTATCATACAACATTAAGCAGATATTTGTTTAATTGCGTATGTTTAGAAGAGAAGAACTGCACAAAGCAATAAGACAACAGTGTTTATGGAAGCCTAAAAATAGAAAATGGAAAAGTCTTAGATTTTTCTGACAGAATTTGAGCCACTCTTTATGCAAGTTAATAAGGCTTTAGTGTGACTTTTCACTGTATTAAAAGGGTGGGGGAAAGGCTCTATTGTTGTCACACCACATTTGTATTTTCACATAAACTTGTACAGAAATCATCTTACAAGGAACGTACCCCATCCATTGTAGAATATAGTTTCATTTGTCTTTCTGTGCATAGAGCAAGTGTTTATGCTTAGAATTTGTGGGATTTATTAAATATTTGGCAAGTGTCTCTGCTCAGTTATCATTGCCCCCAGATTTGGTTTGTGGGGGCGTGGGGAAATGACAACAGTTCTTTTTTTTTTTTTTTTTGGTCTTAAAGATTTATTTTATTTATTTGAAAGAGTTACAGAGACAGGTAGAGAAAGAGGAAGAGAAAGAGAGGTCCTCTATCTGCTGGTTCACTCTCCAAAAGGCCGCAATGGCCGGAGCTGAACCAATCCAAGCCAGGAGTCAGGAGCCTCCTCTGGGTCCCCATTGTGGGTGCACGGGCCCAAGCGCTTGGGATCTCCTCCGCTGCTTTCCCAGGCACATTAGCAGAGATCTGGATCGAAAGTAGAGCAGCCAAGACTCAAATCAGCACCCATATGGGATACCAGTACTGCAGGCTGGGGCTTTAACCCACTGTGTCACAGCACTGGCACCCAACATTTATTTTTGTCTAAATCTTTGGGTTCCCTTTAAGGTAGTAGTTAGCACTACCACCTTGATGCCATAGACTAGAATTCTGAGTTCAATATCCTCTTCCTATCATGAGCTTTGATCAGTGATACTTTTAAAACCACGTGGGGCCAGAGAGGAATCTGCCGGGACCCTGCCTTTTTCAGTGTGGCAGTTTCACATGCACCAGGGAGTCTCCCAGAGTCTTCTGTGGACTGAGAAGTAGACTCGCCCTGTAGATAGTCTTGCTGGTGCTTGGAATCCTTCCAACTGCTGATGTGCCCAGTTTGGCATTCCCTCGTGTCTCTCTTCTCTCAGCGGAGTGACGTGTCATTTTCAAGAAGCTAATCCCAGACATGTTCATTTAAATAAGCACTTTTTAAGTCCAGCATGGAGAATAACTTTGTGGGCCTAATGATGTGACATTGAGTACCAGCCCTGTCACTTCCTGGCTATGAGATTTGGGCCAGGTTGATGTACCTCCCTAAGTGGCATCTCCATTAAGTACTTTGTACCTTACAGGTACATTGAGAGATGAGTAGACAATTGATGTAAAAGGGGTGAGATCAATCTTAATTTTAGCATCTTGCTGAGGCTGAAGACTTGGGCTCTGACCCTTTTTCAGTTACGTGAGGACTCAGCAGATCGATGTACATATATAGACAACTGGGTATATTCAGTAAAGTAATTATGTGTCAGTCTCTGAACTGAGACTTTAAAGACAAGAAATTAATGTTACTGTTCCGCTGATTCAGTATTCAGGATATATGGTTACCTTTGTGACCTAGGATGCAAATAGGTGGTCATGTGCTTGAAATTAAAACCAGTTTCACAAAAGAATAATCATTAATACCACAAATGATATTTCCTATTAGATCAATGCTGATTCTAACTCATTGAATTGATTTTACAACTTACTGACGAACCAAACCCACAATTTAAAAAACACCATTTTAAGTTACTGTAAAATAAATAGCGCATTGGGCTAGGGCCGTTTGATCAGAGGAGCTTCTGTGACAACCTCAGAGCTGGTTTAGACTTTTGGACAGTTGTATAGACAATACAGTTTTCTGTATTTCTCTTGCCTGATTCTGTCTCTGTCATCTCCTGTTTCACTGGGTGTCAGCTGTGGTGGTGGTGATGGTGTCATAAATTTGGTCATACAGGTGGCTAATTCATCTAGTTTTTCTCCAAAGCAGACTAAATTGGGGCTCACCGTTTTTTAAGAGTTGGAAAATAATGTTATGTGGAATCATACCTGTCATCCTTTGAAAGATACTCTGTCTCTAGAATGTGGTTTTAGTTTTAGGAACAGACTACATGTGCAGACAGAAACTTATGCTGAATCATAAATAAAATATAGCAAATAAAAATAGAGCTGCTCAGGTTGAAAGGGTTCTACAGAATGTTTTGGAACTTAACAGCCATAGAACTTAGTGATTAAAAGCAGAGAGAGAGAAAGAAAGCTGCAGGGAAAATAGTATTTTTAGAAACTGCTCTTTGCTGAGATTTATGAGACTAACATTCTAGAAGAACATTTATTAATGAAGATTTAAAGGAAGCCATCCTACATTTGGAAGTATTGTCTTTTGGGGCACTGTCATAGGACCCTCTCTGTCACAGGAGGCAGAAATGCTCAGTTAAAACGTATAACTGGGGGCTGGCGCTGTGGCGCAGCAGGTTAATGCCCTGGCCTGAAGCACCAGCATCCCATATGGGTGCCGGTTCGAGTCCCAGCTGCTCCACTTCCAATCCAGCTCTCTGCTACAGCCTTGAAAGCAGTAGAAGATGGACCCGGAAGAAGCTCCTGGCTCTGACTCAGCTCAGCTCCAGCCGTTGCAGCCAATTGAGGAGTGAACCAGCAGATGGAAGACCTCTCTCTGTCTCTGCCTCACTTTCTGTCTCTTTGTAACTCTTTCAAAAAATAAATAAATCTTAAATATAAATATAAATATGTATAATATATAAATGCTGAACAACTGTAGAGTAAAAAATAATGTATCTATAGAGAGATGCAAATATCACCAGTGTTAAAATAAGTTTTGCTATCACCCCCCTCTGACATCTGCCTGTTCTCCCAAAAGAAAAGAGCAAAACTTAGGGAATAGTAGTATCTCTGTTTCAATACACTTAACATGCACTCCATGTCCTCTTTGTGGGGTTGGTTACTTGCAGAAGCCATGTGCATGCCCCTCAGCTGTCATGCCTCTCCCCTTAGCTTTGTCCACCCAGTTTCTTAATTGGATGGTAAGCTTTGAAAGTGGGAGAGGAGATGTGATGTTGCACCCTCAGCGTTCTTGTCTGTCAATTTGAGGAGTGAGCATCCTGCAGGCTTCACAGTTCCACACTCAACCAGGATCCTATCCTAGTTGTTTCTGGAATAGTGCCCCTGATTTAGGATACGATGATGACGTTGTATGGAATAGTGTCATTAGGCAGTATATGTGGCTTTTGCAGACTCACGATGGATACTTAACTGCCAGTCCTGGTCTAGGTCTAATTTTGTCAAAATCAGGAAGGGAAGCTAGAGTTTCCTTTTTAGGCATTTGTCATCCTGGCCCCCAGTGCCCACGCAACCTGCTGCAACTGGGCTCACTCTGCCTCCATCTCTTCCTCTCCCCCACACATGCACATTTGCTGTTCTTTTTCTAAAAAGCATGAAGAGCCTTAGATTTCCCAAACTAACTGCATCTTTCTTTTCTTTTCCCAGTCTGTTTAAGACAGGATTTATGATTAGGTTACCAAACCATTGAATTATACCACACAGACTGAATACTTTACATAACAGGAATTGAATCCTAAGTCTCTTTGTAATTGAAGATTTTACCAAACAAATAAGTTCCTACTTCCTCTGAACCAAAGCTGATTTCGGTTAATTTTCTGAAGCAAGCCTGCCTTCCTTCTTTCCTTACTCCCATTGTCCTATTGTCGAAGGACTTTCTAATCCCAAGCCCCATTCCCCTGTGTTTTCCCTGTTTTCTTCCTTCTTGCCTCTCTCATCTCCTGTCTCTGGAGGCTGTCTCAGCAGGTCACGCCCAGAGGGTAGGCTGTGAGTATTCGTGCTCAGCGACTTTGGTAACCAGTGCCAGGACCCAGGTGCAGAATTTCAGTAGTTACGCACTCCCCAGGTCCTCGAGGCGCCAGCCCCGTGCGTGCTCAAGTATCTTGGGGTAATAGACTTTTAGGGCTAGAATATTGTAAGATTTGACAAAGGCTCATGTATTATGAAAACAGACTGTTTAAAGTGAAAACATCATAATTCTCTTTAAAGCTATCCAGTAGACTCCAAACATATTGAGATTGGATTGCCACCACCAGTCTGTTGAATAAATACATGACCAGAGTGTTCTTTAATAGTGGAAGAGCTTATACTTTTATTTTCTCCTTTAACTCCTGTCTCCTTTTTGTATTTCCTATAAGATATCCTGACTTAACTTTTTAAAGGATTTCATTCTTTATTTACTTTTCAGGCAGAGTGACAGAGAAAGAGGGAGACACACACACATACACACATACATACACACACACACACACAGAAAGAGAGATCTTTCATGCACTAGTTGACTCTCCAAATGCCCACAAGAAGCCAAGACAGGGCTGGTTTGAAGCCAAGAGCCAGGAACTCCATCCAGGTTTCCCATGTGGGTGGCAGGGATCCAAGGCCCATCATCTACTGCCTTTCCAGGTGCATTAACAGGAATCTGGATTGGAAGTGGAGCACCTAAGACTCGAACTGGCACTTCACTGTGGGATGCAGGGGTTGCAAATGGTGGCTTAACCTGCTGTGCCACAATACCCACCTCTAACTTAATTTTTTTAACCTCTGAAGACCTTTCATTGATTTCTCGTTCGTATTTCTCTATCAAAAAAACATATAAAAGTTTAAACCTGAGGGCTGGTATTGTGGCACCTTAGGTTAAGCCACTGCTATGACACCAACATCCCATATGGGTACCAGTTCTCTCCCAGCTGCTCCACTTCTGATCCAATTCCCTGCTAATATGCCTGGAAAAGCAGCAGAGGATGGCCCAAGTGCTTCAGCCCCTGCACCCGTGTGGGAAACTCAGATGAAGCTCCTGGCTTTGGCTTGGTCCAGCCCTGGCTATTATAGCCATTTCAGGAGTAAATCAGTGGGTGGAAAGATCTCTGTCCCTCCTCTCTCTCTGTAATTCT